TAATCCCTTGTAACCACAGTAAACAATCGATTTCAATTATTATTACCATGTTCATTTATTCCTTACACTAAACGTGTATTGTGAATCATGTTGCATATATGCATCACAATGAATGCTATAAAACGTACTGGAAATTTTATCAGCAAGCTAGACAAAGTTATTTACTTCATAATGTCTGTATACAAGAATAGCTCGCCGACATAAGTAATAGAAATGGTGTTAGAAGTGAAGTAAAATATCACAGAGTTTCCTCACTGGATGCTGCTCAAGGTCCGTACGAATAATACCTTTACATAAAACAGACCGACAATCTTACCAAATTATTTGGATGTATTGTTTTAACTACTGCTCGCAAATAGTCTCACAAAGGACGATATAACTTCACTTTCTCTGTTTAAAATACTTTCCCTTTATGCCTTGGAGCTTTTATGGCTTGGAAGCTAATTATTTCCTTTCTAACTTCCTACTGTCTTACCCGTTAAGTGATTCCTTAGACTACGATCCTGAGTATAATTACAGCGAGTTTTCTCACTATAAGTACGTTAAAATTGCTTATGTATATCAACACTTCTTTATTTTATTGTGATTTCGATATTTTGTGAATTCCGTAATCTGGTGATCATTCTTTGATAGGCTTTTTCACCATTGTTGAGAAAAAAGTATAATAATACACTTGCTTACTTAGTTAATTATCCTATTTCCACTTTACCTTTTTAGTTGCACGGCTATGCAGGCCATAAATCTCTATTGTAACTAAAGGCTGACACACAGCATATCTCGATGGTAGAGTTCACTCCGAATTCTAGATCACGGAATGTATAGGCTACTTAGTTTATTTGAACTCCCCTTATCCGCATCCTAACTTATTATTGGTTAAAGATGCTGAAACTTAAGAATTACACGAAGGTAACCTGATACGTTAATCCCAAATGTAATCTTCTTTTCGCACCTGCGAAAGGTATATAGTTTCTGTATCTCACCAATATGTTGGTTCGTTCTAATATAGAAGATTATACGCGATCATGATTACTGGCCTGCTTATTTTTATAGCCCCAATCACCTCATCATATTTCAGCTTTCTTCTCGTTCGATGTAACGGCCGCATTCATAGAACCACGTTTGCAATGGAACAAAACAACTGGTAGCGTTCGTGCACTGGTGGGAAACGATACTGAAATCCCTAAAGGAAGATCTACCAAAAAATGTACCCATAGCATCCGTGCATAAACAGCAGCCAATGATAGCCCTCCATGCATTAACACTTTGCACAAAGGAATAGAATCCGTCCGTTTATGTACGCTATTTCTTTCTACTATGAGAAGTATGTCACTGATTCACAAAATTTGTTTTGTATATTTGCCTATAGATGGTTAAATGTAGTCCGCTGAATACCAGTACATTCACCAAGATGATTGATTCTGAGTGTATCTTATTAGCAAGAACATGTACGATCTATTAATCCAAAACACAGCATTCTTTTCTTTAGAAGGTGTCTTAATCATATAACATAAAAATGATTTATCTGATAGCCATTGTACTAAGGAATTACTGTAATAGTGTATTAAGTTTTAATGATTATTTAGACTACCAAAAATTATTCATCTTTTCACCTGTTATATACACATATAATGGATTATGCCTTAAGCCAAACTGGTGTCACTGATATCTGTTGCTGTCTATTACATCCAACTATTGGGAACCAGAGTCGTCTGGTTCCTATTCTGGAAGGCAGACATGTCTGACTGAGAACAACCTTGAGGTATAATTCTTCCTGCACCTTCTCGGCATCATTGTTTGTCCAGCGTTGTTAAATAGAACATCAGTCTCAATAGCTTACAGCGCATAAATTTTAGGAACTTTTTTCTATAAATCATCAATCAGTAAAGCTATAATGTAGTCACTTAAATTGCACCACATCAAGATCAATGATTTCCATAGTTCAGTAAGTAGATATGTAATGTCGCTTTGAAATGCTACTTACATCCGCAGTCACCAACCGTGAGAAAAAGCAGGCTGTCTTATAATGAATGAAAATAAAGCATTGTTTTGTTTATGAATATATTGTAGATTTGACCGATTTATGCTTGACGAATCTAATAAATTTCTTTTCAGAAACAATATTCGTTATCAATTTGTAAAAATACAAATCGGTTTTCCAACATAAATTTGCTACTGCGTTTTTGCTTAGACAAATATCAGTTTGGTTTAGAGCCGGTTGGGCCATAGTGCACCGGTTAGCATCAAGCATCCCTAATGATAAACAACTGCGTTGGGTGAATTGCCCACCGAGTCTCATACTACTATATTATTTATGTTGTTAACTTAGTAAATAAATGCAGTGCTATTTTTCGCATAAAATTGTCCGAGACTTTCTGGGCAGGAGTGCTAGATTTGTAATGGCACAGAACCGTTGTGCGTTTCAGACTAGCCAAATGAATAATGGGCAAAGTGTTAGCAAAAATACATATTTGACACTTTCTAAACCAGAGTTAAAATAAGCCAGGCAATAACCAGCTCGCCATATCAAACGGATTAGACATTTTAGCTAGCTGTTTATAAATTCATGGTGATCTGGTTCACACTTACTGACTATGATTTTGGTAAATATTTTTTGTTTCCACGCCATACGATGACACCTGGTAGGCTTCCTTTTCAAAACAAGCATGTTTCAAAAAAATAAATGTAGACTTAGCGCTTAACAGGCTATTTTAGCAATGCAGTTTATTATCCCATGCTTCATATAGCTAATTGTGGTTAAAGCGCTGCAGGTAACACAACTTTAGGCATAGATGAAAAGTATGCAAACCTGCTCTTGACCCAAATGTGGATAAACATCCACATTAATCTTTTTATATAGAACCCGTGGTATATATTAGTTGATACAAAGGAGGAATTATCTAAAGGCATTTAAATGTTTGGCTCGTTTATTCTCACTTTTTTAAAGTTAGATTATTGGCATCAATAAAGTACGTAGTTCGTGTGCGGTTTTTTATAAGCAGCGATAATTTACTTTAAGGCAAGCAATTTAAGGATTTTGTTTCGTACATTAGTATTATGTGCGAATAGCATTATCGCACCTATCCGACCATAAGAGTGAAGTGAAAATGTTGGAAAATTTCACGATTTTTTAAAACTTTATTTGCAAGTTAAGCAAACGGTGATAAATAAAGGAGTTCCCCTACCAATCGCGCCATTGAACTTAATTTTTTCTGGTGATAAAAACTGTTGATGAACAATTTTGCAAAAAGAACATGTGAAATCTATTAGAACATGGCAATGAACAGCCACAAGAATTCATTAGGTCAAAATACAAAGGAACACTGTGAGATCAGCTGGGTTGAACACTGTAATTACAGCAGCGATATGACTGAAAGTACAAAACTTTGGAAATGGTGGACGGCAAACGCGTCGACATGATACATTAAAAAGTCATTACCGGATTCAGATGTGTGAGTATCAATGGTGGTTGACCAGCATTGTTTAGCTTTAAACAAGATAATTTATTTACACAATACACAACGGAACGTATGCCAGCTGGAGCACTAAATGTATTTTGCAAAAGTGAGTCAGCTATAATAATGATGGGGTAAAAACTTGTATGTATAGTTATCTCAGACTGTGCGTGTGGAGTATAGAAACTGTGTTAATTATCAAATTTACTAAATATATCTATAAAATTATTTTAAGATATCTCTGAATGATTGCTATTGCATTTAGACGCCCATATAACATGAAAGCAGTTGCACAACTCTCAATTAGTTTACCTCTCTGAGTTGCACTCCACATGCGGATGTTGATTAGTGATAATACTATATTATATTTGCAAATATTTCGTTTTCATCGAAGTCTCGCACGCCAAAACCTAAGCCATGATTATGAGGGACAGAAAGACCTCAAAACCATTAAATACCTTTTATACAACAAAGTCAACATAGTTATTTGCAAAAGATGTGTTAGAACATCTAAGTTATGTCTTTATCCCAATAGTTTTGTGAATGTGACATGACCATATGTTTCACCTAGTTTAGTTCCTAACTTTGTGGCATTAAATGTATAAGTTGTATGATGGTGATCTAGATGGAATAAAGGGTTATCTTTTATAACTGGTCATAATTTTCCTAAACATTTTGTTTAAAAATATTTAAAGCTGATTGGCCGCAAATTAAACAATTATAAGCAAATGGTATCAGTGAAGTTTGCGTTGTTCGGGGATAAGCGTAATGGTTACAATTGTCTAGCTACACCATTTGGCTTTAGGGCATTTCACAATACCTGTTATAGCTGACATTAGCATGGATAACGTCGAAAACATTTCGTGATATTATGAAGGTAGACTATGTAAACAGTAGGCCTCATTAGCTTTACCATTACAATCACAGTAGCTAAAGCAAGGGGTAGACCAGAGCTCTAATATATTAACTTATCTTGTTGGCAATAATTCGCCAGGTAAGATACTATATTTAACTGCTGTTGATGCAGAATGCGAAAACATATTTGTGGTTATGATTAATTCTCTTATACCCGCTAATTTAACTATTTGACTTAAACCGCGCTGTGCGGTGCATAGTATGAGTCTGTAGCATGTATCACATTAACCCATTATGAAATTTGAACAGTGCTTCTGGTTTGTTTGGTCAGATGAATGAACATTATCACCACTGGGCTACTCAAAATTAATTTAATAATATGGCGGTACACATTAGCTAACCTCTTTTTACACGACATAGACCACCTTAAAATTTCATTCTATCGTTAACGTGCTATGGCGACTGCCAGGCGACTGCTCAGTCTGTTTGGAAACCTTAGGTAACCATCTCTGTTTTAACTCTAACATTGCCTTTATTTTCGGATATATCATAACCTACCCTTCATCTGTTTCCAAATAAAATGCTTATCGATTCAGCTAACAGCCTCATTATGCAATAGATGAAGCTATCAGGGGATGTTTTAGGGTGGATGCTATATGTTTATAAAAAGACGCATAAAAACTATACACCTACTGTTATCGACTGTTACATCCAGTGATTCAGAGGTTTGAAATTGCAGACACAAACTTGTTTTTCCAACTCTGTCGGTGCCCAGCACTTGCACAGTTAGAAGTTCGTTGGGCGAGATTAGCTCAGTCGGGGGTGATGAGTGCGAGTAAGGAGATTCGGTCCCAGAGTCTGAAACAACTGCCCAAGACCTTGATCTGCTACGAAATCCGGGTGTAAGTGAATTAGGAGAAAGTGCCGTTTGTTCATTGTAAGCAGCTTGAGCTGGTTCTTGATTTACGTCATTCCCGGAAGGGTGTACAAGGGTAGTTGTTATCGCCGGGATTTCGAGCACATCACCTTCACCTTCGGAAAAGTCTGATCTGTCACTTGCTTCATCTGTAAGTATAGTAGGATGACCTTGGATACTTTTTCTACCATCAAGCGTTAAACCTCGGTACCTATCTGCAGGACCATAGATTTCCATTTGTGGAAGGTTTTTGTCACCTTTACGGATGATTTTACCATCCTTCTTACGTTGAAAGCTACGAACTTTTACCAAACCTTCCTCCGCCGATTTACTAGAAATACGGCTTGGCGAGTGAGGATCGTTATCAAAATTTGGTACCAGAGACGTAGAATAAACAGCTGGAGCAGAAGGACGGTAAACTGACTTTGCTGTAGAATGTTTTCTTGCCGTTTCTTTCATTGACCCCGCACGTGCTCGATCTAGCAGGACATTTGGTGGTCGTCGACAGTCTTCGCCTCTTCCAGCCGTTGAAGTGCCAGGCTTTGGTGACAACTTGACAGTGTCCAGTGTGGAGAGTGATTTTGGGCTAAGTCTGTAAGATGTCTGCGGGTTGTCTCGGCTAACGTGTAATGATGCTGGGGAGTGCATATTGTCTGAGCGTGCGGGAGACCTTGCTGTGATAAGACTTGCACCAGACATGTTTTGTGGTGTCTGCGCGGGATGACGTATTTCACGGAAGCTGGACGAACGCTTCTCACTCCGCTTGGGATAATTTACAGAATGATCAGCACAGCTTTCGCGTCTTTGTGAGCGAACATTCCTCGGATAATCACTAGGGTACAAGCTTTCTCTTGATGAAGGTTGAGCGATTTGACAAAATAAATCAAAGTCATCACTGATGTTGACTCGCTCATTGACGTTCATTTTTCGAACAGATGAGTGCCATGTAATGCTTTTCTTTCAGTTGCACATTTTATGGTGCATTCAAACAAATTGCTTTCAAAGAGTGATGGGAACAAGCGGACTACCACGGTTCTTATCTTAGGTCGCTGCCTGCCCACCTATCACACAACATTTTCACCCATTGGTTCTTCTCCTAAGGCGTTTCCTGTCTGCGTGCGATTCGTTATCGACAAGGTCGACCGTGTGTCACGAGGAGGGATAAATATGTCAATAGCCTTTGCCAGAATTGAGGGCGAAGCAAGAGGAAAGCCGTCATATTACGGTAAACAATGTAAACAAATATTAGAGCGAACGCCATGCAAGATGTTCCAATGCTGTGGAAGCTACAGTAAAGTCACGTATGGCGAAAGACTAAAAATATTGTGGCGTTCTGAAAACAGGTTAAATTAGACGGATTAACTTAGCTTAACTTAGACACATAATTATCCCTTGAAATAAACAGATAAATGGTCTCTTAATTCAAGAATTTTCTAATTACGTTCAGCTCCTTATGCAAATTTTATGGTGCTACACAAATGTAAATACATCACAGAGAGAACTGCGCTATTTTGCATAATTAGTCAGAAAGAGTATTTTTTCCATTCAATATTGTTATATTGTACAGTCACCCTGTAGCTACGAAAGGCTGGTTTCAAAAATTGATAATAAGTATATATAAAGTTACTAATTAGGCAGAACTTAAAATAACGTGAAATTTCTGGGGTTTATTATGTCAACAGGATAAGCCTTTCGAGTCGCCACAATATTGAATGCTGAGCTTTATTAGTTAGGGAAACAAAATAGTGTCTAAATCGTGATGACATTGCTAACATGAAACTACCAATTCTGAAGACAATATGAAGCGGTGCATCCATCACCTGGTACAGTGTTATCTGATAAATGAGATTTAGGTGTATGAGTTAGCGCTACGATATTTACTACTATCATTGCTTAAAATGTGGTTTAATGTTTTTAGAGTATTGACGCAACAGAAAATAACTGCGAGTTTTCCGTTGTTTAGTTGCATATGCACATTTTGCATTTATTTATGAGATGTTACAGTGCGTTCGGTAGATACGCCTCCTCCTTTGCATAACAAATAGAATAATTTTGTAACCTGGTCAGCTACGGCATTGAGCTTGCACATGTGATTATCAAAGCGGATATTTATTCGTGCTTTTATGCATTCATGATGCTTCTTCAACGCGGTTGGGATAAACAAACTCACAATAAAACTTGATCCCTTACGCTGGATAAATTTCGTTTATCGTTATTTGGTTTGTTGTTTCTACCTGAATATTCTTCCATTAAGTTGCACACTTTGCTTACGCTAACTGCGCTTATCTTCTTTAACGTTAATGCGTTGGTAGCATTAATCACCGATTCATTGCTTGCCAGCTTACTTCGTAAGCCAATTTAGTGAAGAGTTATGTCTGCATAGTCATATGCTTCAACATATGTATTTGATTTGATAATCTTATTTCAAGTGATTAGCTGTTGGTTGACATCCCTGGTGTAGCTGAGCTTGATATTGACAAGGTGCCTACCTGTCTATCACATGTTACCTCGACCTTACTGGCTCCAGAATACAGTTGGCCGTTGCTGGAGAGGACGGGATGCACCGTCCTTGCGACCGTGTTAGACTCGAAGAGTAATTCCATGCACACAGTGTGCAGTGGACTAAGATCCAGCCAGCGCCCAGTATGCGCTTGATTCCCAACTAAAGCGTGCTGGCTTTTGCCTGTGAAAGAATGTGAGCCGACTCCGTTGATGAAACGTACCTAACATCTACATGCCTCTCTGTCTTATTCATTCTGGTTTACACTGGATATGGGATGCGTGTTTGGAGTTGTGGGTGGTGAAGCGCAAACTACCCATGGATCTTCTTTAGGCGCAGGCTACCTGTAGCTGGCAACAGTGACCATCGTACCCGGAAATGGATTCCGCCAAACGTTTATTCATAAGTTCAGCTAGTCTCCACGGCGTTTTGAGATGAAAGTAACTGTTGCTGGTGCCCAAGTTGGACTCCTGGCGAAACATCCACGTGGTGCGGATGCGAGGTTTTATTTACCTAGTTGGATATTTGATGGAATATTTAGTATTATAATGGAGCTGATGTAAATCTATTGGCGCAACATGTACACAAGGCCAAAATTATAGATTGTACATGATGAAGCAGCTTTAGTTTAGGTTATAAAATTGTTTCTAATTCCTTAACTTTATCTTAGTTTATATTTTCTTGAAAAAGCTAGGTTGTCGGCGTAGCAAATCGTACTAAGCAAATGATGCAACGTGCATAGTTGTTGGAAAATATACAACAATAATTCCTAGAAAATAAATAAGGCGTAAAGTAACCAGGAAATCAATTTGAGTAAAGCTTAATAATTTGTAATAATTTCACAACACGTTTTCATGTTTTCCTTCAGGCTAAGCCAATATTTATTTATCTCGCGGTACATGAAGTTACTTACAAATATATGTATGCATAAATACGTAACGAGATTTGACTAGGGCATTACAGATATAGTCAAATATTCTGCTGAAACAAACCAAGTAATTGCTCGGTTGTGTTCCCTTGATTTAATGAAAATGTTCTCAGTTAAACAGGGACATTAGGTCTGGTTGTTTATTAACGATAAGCAAATCAGCTTATTAATTCAGATATTAACATTAGCCAACAACAAACTTTTACTTGTGTATTATCTGCAATGTATCACTTAAACCTTGACAAGCACCAGTTTAAGGTGTACTAACTAATGCATTATTCGAAATGCCCTATTTTGGTATGAGCAATTTCAGCAGTTTCAATAGCGAATCGTTATTTGCCACGCAACATTGTAGGTTGTGCTTAGTTTGTTTGCCAAATTAAGTAAGCAAGAGTCAGCAATTAAAACCAAAATCTTGAGGGGATCTTTCACTGTTTAAATAAATAGGCTGTGAAAAATTTGCCTTTTCGAACTGCATCGGAAAGCGATTCACGTACTCTCAAGTCATACCAAGGGTTTGCAGGAAATAGCTTATCCAACGCAGTAGTGAATCACCAATGTCATGGAGAACTATTCTGGAAGAGAATTCTGTGGTCTAAGTGATCAAATGCTTTTAATAAGTTAAAGTACATGACATCGATTCCTGCTCCACCATCAACTGCTTCAGTCAAGCTATTGCGTTAAATTGGCAGATTTTTAGGAACTGAGCACTTTTCTCGAAAACCATGTTGCTCTGGTGCCATTATGTTGAGATTTTTCAGATACTGCATGTGTTCATCCGAAATCGTAGACTATAACCTTGGAAATCACAGGGAGCAGGGTAATTTGTTGGGTCAATGCGACAACCCCCTAATGAATAGGATTGATGACACATCGCTCCCATATAGTTGGATTATGGTTCTCCTCCATACAGCGCTGATAGAATATATAGTCAGCTCACCTGCTGCTGCCGTAAAGACTTCGGTCGAATGTCATCGACCCCAGGAGAGCTGTGGATACGCAAGGACAACAGTTCATTTGACACAGTTTCTGCAGTAAAAGTGATATTGAATAACGCTGACGGTGGGATAATAGAAACAAGGATAACCGTTGGGTTTGTTACACTCTGGAAAGTTTGTGAGTAATGGAGCAGTAAAAATCGGCTGTTTAATTTGCCGATTGCGTGCGCCCGGCAGACATGATCAGTGCAACTTTCGATGACTATACACATGCCTGTATAAGAGTTTGCAGTTCGTGCAGTATCGCCTCATTAACTAATGTTGATACGTCACCTTGTCCCCGCGGATCAATCTCACACAGAAGTTAGGCTGGGCCACATAGGTAGTCCAGTGTTTCGAAAATCGGGGAGTACTTGTGAGCTCTCCATACTAAGCCCCTCAAGGATATTCGTTTGCGTGTTCTGCTCCTCAGATATGACTTCTTTTTCCTTTGACGATGGAAAAATTCATGCTCAGAAGCGTGGTTTACCGGTGTGCTAATTATCCTTGTGAATGTGTCCCACGCGATTTTTAGGACGTAATCAGCTAAGAAGATCCAATATACCTCCTTAGCAAGTGAGGATAACTCGTTATAGTAGAAGAGCGTATAAACTTTATCATTCCGTTCCGTAGGATAATTCCCATAAGATAGATAGTTAAACAGTAGAGTCGCATAATCACTGCCACCCAGGGGTGTGCTTGTAATTATTCCGTCAACCTTCGTTGGTGAGCACAATATCAATTATTGGCGGCTCGTTAGCAGTTCGAAATCTGCTTGGAGATGTCATTTGTTTGTGAAGAGTGTAGATGGAAATGGTCTCTTTTAAACTGGTTTTGAACCACATACTGCCGGTCGCCGCTGGTTTCAGTTCATGCACACTCACGTCAAAGGCGATGCGAATTTTGACTGTATGACTTGTTTGAAGTAAAATGAAAATCGTGGTTCAGTTTGGACTCCATTTCACAACTAGAATTTGGTGGACAGTAAATCACAGCTATAGGACCTGCGTCTATGTTCAGCAACCATAGCCGGCACCAAAGCTACCCTAGGGCACGGATCACTAAGTGCTCAATAAGTCCACATCTGACGTTAGCCTAGGAATAGAGAATTACGCCACCACTTCCAGATCTATCTTTCCGAAGCAGTAACATACCAGGTAACTTGAACATAGAATCTGCTATCTTAATGCATAACAAGGTCTTCCTAATCATTTCTGATAATATCGGTGTGTAGTTGGACGGTGGACCAAAAATTTTGGCAAATTAGGTTAGCTACTGAAAGCGGCACATCGGTATAGGCCAAGCATAAACGAATGTATGAAATTAAAACTATGTCTCGGCCCCAAACAATGTTTCAGATGCGTATATGTTAAGCAACTAGACGTTTGGGACCGCAGATCTTTGCATAAGCTTTGCACAACCATAAAGCGCTCACAATGAAGTCCACGTCTTCCATTATATTTGAGAACTACATAGCAAGCGCTAGTTATGTACATTTTAACTCGTCTACTGCCGTATGTTTTCTGAAGACAGTAATGCCTATGCACGAACGCAAGTCTCATAGCGCGGACGATATCGTAATGAATGCTCTGAATATGATCGCTATTAATTCGGTTGCATCGCTCTCTCGGTTAGGCTTACGA